TTYYYWTTTCTTGGCTGTGGCCYCCTATGTTGGCYATTAGTCTGCTAAGTTGGTCGGTGATTTTCGTTGATTTTCCTGCGGCGTGCTGGATTTGTACCCATACGGTTAGTCTGGGGTCAAGTCTTATGTCGGGGTAGCTTACTGCTTTTTGTGTCCTAAGAATATCCATAGTCGTTTGTATACTGATTTCTAGGAGTCTATGCTTATTCTTTAACAGAGTGGTTCTGTTTTTATCCTAAGTGAGCTGGAGGTTATGTTAACCGAGCCATGCTTGTGTCCGTTTCGTGACCTGATTAAGCTTTCTTCGCGCTTTTTTTGCATCTCTTGCGGTAACAACTGCTGCAATGTGGTTTGCGTAGTCAGTTGAGTACGATTCGTATATCATTTTGAGTTTTAGTATGCCTAGGCCTAATATGGATTCATGTGCTGCTCCTGACATGACCGCTACTATCGTTATCAGTTTTTTTTACTTAGATAGCTCCGCACCACAGCTCTCAGATAAGCATTTATTTTAAAGCTTTTTCGATAGCGTCGATCGTATTCACCTGTCTAGCGTGCTAAAGGTGTTTCGGACATCTAAACAACAACAAGCAACTCTATCCTTTTTGTATTCTGAGAACATATTTCTTAAAAGAAATTRGAATTTTCAATAAAAAAGCGCTTTTCTCCTTCTATGTCCTTTTATTTTCAACAAATTTTATTCCACCCACATACAAMAACCTCTATAGGTATATTTTTAGTGCCCCATTAGCAGGCTTACAGTCTAATGACTATTTTTGGCAGTTGACCTGCATTAACACAAGAGCAATATGTTTAAATAAGTACTAACAAAGGACATTATTGATATACAGTAACCCCGAGTAATACCAATTGACCACTGACCTTGCTCATATTTTTCACATAACAAAAATCGAAACGAAATAAAACTTAACACTAATAACATGAAAAATACAACAACAGAAGCGAATATTATTAGCTTTACAAAGCTACGCGGTATAGTGAGTGTAATGACGACTACACACATACCTCCTATTATTTTACAAATCAACTAAATTACCAAATAAAGGACAATGTACTACATGCACACGACATGTCTGTTTGTATGTAGCGACTTACGTCAACGGYATGTGCATACGTAGACTCGTATATAACGCCTGCAAATGTTGACGTGCGTATGCGAGACTCGTGCTAGAAGCGCCAGACATGCCTACAGTTGCAGATCTGTTAGCTCTATAATGCCCCGAGCTAGCGCTATAGCGGTGCCACTAGATTTGGCTGAAGTATGGTCAAGTGGACGTGCGCGTTTACCACATTTAGCTCAAGGTTATGCAGTAAATTGCTCGTAGTTCAGCCTGGGCGCACAAGTGACGCTGCGAAGTGGAYTTGTGAAACGCTAAATGAGAAGTAACTTATGAACATGTGAAACAGCAAATGAAAGTAGCTTTTGAACTTGTGAAACGCTAAACGAAAAGTAATTTATGAACTTATGAAACAGTAACTGCAAACTAACTTATAAAACACAACTGTGTGTTCTTATAAGTAATATATCCTTTTTGACACAACTAACGATTTTATGAGATAAAGTATTTTGTAATTATTTCACAAAAGTAACTATTTCAACATTTAATTACATTTGATTTGCTTTCGTTGACACTTCATTACTAAATGCGATCTTTAACAYGAAACTTTTCATGATCGCATGTTTATTGTACACACCAACAGGTGCTTTAAACCTAATTCTTGGTGCTATAGGGTGCATTTAGTCACAAAAATAGATAATCTGTCCGGTGTCCAGTATGACGGCGCGTCATTAATGGAAACCAATTAAATGCTGACGTCAAATGTGAAATTACTGTAATTCACGTTGACAAATGTCAATAGATAATTGTACACAAAAATATATATAAGTATATATGATATATACGAAACATCTGTTGTGCGAGCAACAGGTCTGTAGCTAAGCAAGCTTTTTGCTGTAAATAAATAAAGCGCTAGACGGTTAGAGCAAGAGTATGCGGTTAGCTCGTGGCTATTTTAAAGTACATATGTGACAAGTTGTTATTTGAATTTATTATGTGTTTATTGTGTGGTATATTATCAGTGTAGAAGATACAGYTCGTGTACTTGCTTGTATACTGTTATTAAATCTAGAGAGCAACTGCCATTGGTACTACTTTGAAACATATTTTTGTTGTCTTTAGAAGGAGTGCACTTAAAATCGATTATTTTTCTGGTGGTGAGATTAAACTAATTTCTTCAAGTGAATAAGTCGAAAGAAATGTCGACGRTTTTTCGAAGTTGGCCACAAAGTCATAATGCATAATTGCCTTCAAAATGCGAAATTATTGCACGAAAACTATTATTGAAAAACAAGTTCTTCATGTATACCTGACTGAGCTTTCCGAAAGTGTGTATTAGGGTTTTCACAAGTCTCATAAAGTTATAAATTATAACGATTCGAAAACATAGCATTGAAACGAAAATGAAATCCAACAACAATTTTTKTAAACAAGTGTAAAAATTTATAATTTTACGATTTTACAATGCTTTGCGACGGGTTGTGCATACCCCATATATAAAAAAAAAATTTTAAAAATTTCCTTTTTAAAAATATGCTTTATTTACTAATCACACTAATGTTTTAAAAAATTKTCTCCTTTTAGAATGCCCAACCGCCATGGATGGCATGGAGCGGTTCGCGTGTCCCACACCTGATGTGCAGGGACGATATCGTTGCATAGACGATCACGTGCTATGCGACGGCTTCATCGATTGTCCGGAAGGTGAAGATGAAGAYCGAAGATCGTGTATGTTCTACAAAACGGTAAGTCATGCAACAAATCTCTCTAGAAGTAACTTATTTTTGAGATAAAAATGAAAAACACTTTTATAAAGTATGATAGAGAGGAAAGATTTTTATTTTAAAGGTAATAAAAGATAGTTATAGGCWAATGGTTAAATGCTAATAAGTTATGGTAAGCGTGTTTGTTATTAATTTTTTTTTCAAACCGTGGCTGTGGTGGTAGGCATGAAAAAATTTAAATTTTATATTACTCCTAAAAACTCCGAATTATTTTTTGTAAAGTGTGATTGTATTCGTAAATATATCTATATGCGATTATATTTATGCGAACATTTAAATATACATAATTACTCCGAAAWACTCCGAATCATTTTTAGGAAGTTTGATAGTATTTGTCTGGGTCTTGTTTTTTGCAATGAAAATATGTGTTACTCTGAAAATCTCCGAATTATATATTTCAAAACGTGATTGCGGTCGTAAACTTGTATATGGGGCTAGTTTTTTACAAATGTGCAAATATAGTATGTATATTACTCCAAAAGACTCCGAATTATATTTTCCAAAGTGTGGTTGTGGTCGTCAGCATATGCGGGACTAGTCTGTTTGCWAAAGAAGGTGCAATTATATGTATGTATATTACTCCGAAAAACTCTAACTAAATATATTTTTAAAGGGTGGTCGTTAGTATACATATTAGCTTTTGATAAAAATTAAAATTTGTGCTACTCCGAAAGGCTACGAAACATTTCTTATAAATTGTGGTTATGGTCCTAAGCTAGTATTTTTTGCAAAATTGCAAATATAATATTTTTTCTATTTTGAACCAAAATTGCAATTCAAAATCTTTTTTTTTTTTTTATTTTTTACTTAGAACATGTGTAGTATTATTATAGCTACTTCATACTTTCTTTAATGTTTTATATACGATATTTACATAATTTCGCTTGTACTGTAACCCCGAAGCTATTAACGCACAGAGCGAAAAACTTTAAACTTACAAATAGCTCTTCAAAACACCTAGCAAATGGAATTTCTAGCTAAAAAGCTTAAGGCAGCAAAAATAGTTTCTATTTTTACTCACACTACGCAGAACTTTTCTAAACTAATCATGCACTATCYTTCCGCTTCTTTGCAGGTCAAAGCTCACCTAGACGTTTTGGCGGATGCGCTGTTACGCTGGGCGCGAGGACGTTAAAAAACCACAACATAARCCATACACGTAGTAAACACAACATAAACTCGCCTTCCTATGCATAAATGCAAACAGAACAGAAAAACAACAGAAGAAACACTACACATCCGAAGCAACACAAATAGATATGTGACTGCTAGCACTCACATAATCAACACATAAACAACGACCAGCACCACCGCAGCTAAATTGAAAGCGCAAAAAACACGACRAAACACAAAGCGCCAAACAAACCGAAAGTCAAATAACTAATTATGCCGCAAAATCATACGGATGGACACTGAGRCACACACACATACACAAACACAAACTCCTACACGCATGGTCGCATATGAAAGTGCAACAGAATAAGAGAGATAGAGCGACAGTTAGACAATGCGAGAGAGAGAGAGGTGACGAGCGAGCGTAATAGTAGTATTGTTTGTAAAAAGCTGTAAAAGTATTGTCAAAATAACGAAATACTAGACAAATAGGAAAAACAACCAAAAACAAAAAAAACAAAAAAAAAAACACAAAAATAAATATAACAACTGAAGACATTAACTGTTATTAGCGATATGTGTGGCAAGCATGTGAAATGTTAATCAAAAACAAGAAAAAACAAAAATAAAATTCATAAATTAGTTGTGAATTGAAATGAGCGTGTGCAAAAGCCTCAAATGAATGCCAGCAAATGAAAACTTATGTATGTAGTAGTAAATGTTTAATCAACTAGTAAAAAGCAAGGTGTAAGGAGTACTTAATGTTATATATATGAATTATGATTACAATTTTGATTACTTATTACTTACGAACAAAAATTACTATAACTTAACGATTATTAATTATTATTATTATTATTTAATA